CAGTGCTGATGGTGTTTCCCTGAAGGTCCCTCACTGTGTAGCTCCCCTGATCAGCTGGTGTGAGGGAGCGCAGTGTCAGAGAGCCGCCCCGCACCCACACTCTCTGCTCGTACCCGGGGCCAGGGAGCCCTGCGCTGCTCAGTAAGACTGCGGGAGACTGGGCAGATCCTCCAGGATCAAACATCACCTCCACTGGCTCAGCAGTGTGGAGAGGGAGAGTCAGACTGTCTCCGGACAGCAGGGTGAGGACTTCTGATCGAGCTGAGAGAAACAGAAGGGTAAGGACATGATTGTACAGACCTTTACACACTGGTCAATATCTCTACTGTTTGTGTTGTCAGGCTAGATCACAGGGTACAGCAACATGACACACAAGAATATTCTTCACAAGATGAAAGAGGAGAACTGGATCTCCACACCTTGTGTTTTCATCGTGTTTCTGACACCTGTGACAAAAGAAATACAGTTTGTACCTGTGACATTCAGCCTGATGCTTCCCAAAATCATCAGGTTGTTGATTTCCTTCTTGAACGCGCACTCATAGACATCTTCATCAGAGAAGGAAGGGTGATGAAGAGTCAGGGAGAAGTTTCCTTCTCTGATCTTCTCTCGGGACACCTCAGCTCTGTTCTCGAACCCCGGGCCAGTGTAGAGGTGTCCTCTGCTCAACTCATAGACGAGGAGCTGTGGAGTCTTCCACCTCAGGTAGATCCGATCTTCTGGGGTCCCCCTGTAGGCTGATCCGTCGCAGGGCAGAGAGACAGAGTCCCCAAACCTCACCGACACCGAGACAGGACCTGGGCAGACTGAGGGAGACAGCAGCGCCGTCACAGACACACAAAGATACAGGTTTTTCTACCCAATCAGCCACTGCCTCCCAGCGACACCGAGAAAGAGACGCAGGACAGCACCCTTACAGACACACGCAGGAGAAACTCAGACGCAGCGAGCATCAGTCTACGACACCCCGACTGTAATCAATAGATCTGGTCACAGATTGAAGCAGCACTGTGCCCTGAGCACATTCTTTGCATGATGAACACAGGATATTCAATCTTCACCAAGCTCCACAACACAGTGAAACAAACATGTACCGGATGTTAATATTACTGTGATCAAACTTTTCCTTACTGAGAAAGTTGCCGGATTTCCAATAAGAACAAATACCGATTTATGTGAGAAATACTGATCTATTTTGGCAGGAGCACAGTTCATAGTGAACAACACAACTCAAGAGTTTAGAAACTAAAAAGACGGAAAATGACACCTCAATCGGGTATAAGGATTAAACGCAGGCATTAGACGTTAAATGAAGAAAATGTTGGTTGTTATCTGCATGTTGAATATTTACTGTAG